GTTGCGTAGCCTTGTCTGACAAAATCACGTGTTGCGTAGCCTCATCTGACAAAATCATGCATTGCGTAGCCTCGTCTGACATAATCACGCATTGCGTAGCCTCGTCTGACGTAATCACGCGTTGCGTAGCCTTGTCTGACAAAATCACGTGTTGCGTAGCCTCGTCTGACGTAATCACGCGTTATGTAGCCTCCTCTGACGTAATCGCGCGTTGCGTAGCCTCGTCTGACGTAATCACGCGTTGCGTAGCCTCGTCCGACGTAATCACGCGTTATGTAGCCTCCTCTGACGTAATCGCGCGTTGCGTAGCCTCGTCTGACGTAATCACGCGTTGCGTAGCCTCGTCTGACATAATCACGTGTTGCGTAGCCTCGTCTGACGTAATCACGCGTTGCTTAGCCTCCTCTGACGTAATCACGCGTTGCGTAGCCTCGTCTGACGTAATCACGCGTTGCGTAGCCTCGTCTGACGTAATCACGCGTTGTGTAGCCTCGTCTGACGTAATCACGCATTGCGTAGCCTCGTCCGACGTGATCACACGTTGCGTAGCCTCGTTTATTCGCATCAAACAGTCGAGAGGGAAACTAGACGAAAACAGTCTGGATTCGAATTTTTATTTATTTATTTTGAAAATTTTGAACAGTTCAATAAAAATTCACTCTACAACTGGATGGAAACACGATTAGTGGCACAAATGCTGACTCAGCATTTCCATACTAGAATAATCAGCCAGACTGACCTGTGGAACGTCTTGGCCATACGCACAGCAGACTGAACTGCGAATGCTTTAGGGTTGCGTTTTCTTTCATCTTCCTCTTGTGGAGCGCCCTGCTTCTTCAGCTTCTTCCTGTCTGCCTTTGGGCCGCTGTGCTTCTGCTGGTGCTTCTTTGGTTTCTTCCCTTCACTGTCCATCCTGCCCAATGTGAAGCACAAACATCATTCAACTGCAAATATGTTGACAAAATCACAACCGATATACGGGTACTTTAACAGAAGCTGATTCTGTGTAGAACATTAAGCTGTGGTTCTACTTCACAACATGTGAGGAGGAAGATCTGTTTTGTTTTAACTGAGGAGYAGTGATATTTAGTAACCGTCTCACAAACAGATCACCACTGTTTCTCACAGGGGACATGAGAACGTGTCCTCACACCGTGTGGATGAGCTGCAGTCACATCGGACAGCACAGCCACAGAAAGACATGTTTCTCTCAGCTGTTTTCTTGTTTTACTTTTGATTTATGCATTTAAAAATGACAATGATTAGCATCAACTCGAATACAACAGAACTGCTAATGGGTACTACTTACAAGTAATATAGAAATTATCCTTCAGATGTTGAGTGA